GCTGAGCCCCGCCGTGTTCTGTCCTGCTGCCCGGGCCCGAAACACACATCAGCAGACTCTGACGTAGCCGGCGTTTAGGCTCAAGGAGAAAGGAGAACGGCATCTCTGCCCCGCACACGAGGCCACACTGACCTCTTCACGACCGAGACACGGAAACGGGGACAGTCAGCAAGCGGAGGCTAGTGTGTCTGTTTGCAGGACTCCTAGTGTCGCCAGGGCCAAGCCAAACCTGGACGCAGGACAGGGCCTCGGCAGCCTGAGGGACGCTGGTCGCTACTCACCCGCGGAGGAGCCTCAGCAGGAGTAAGTCCTGACTGTCGCAGAATCCAGCCTCTGCGCTCCTGACACACTGCCTGGCGACGACCACAGGAGGAAGCGTGCAAACACAGCGTGCGGTTAGTCTCACGGCGTCAGACACGCTCACACCTGCCGCCGGCTCCTGGGCCCCCGGGGAGCCGCCGAGGGTCGGGCAGCCGGGGCCCTGTGTGCCCCACGACAGTGCATGAGGGCCGCCGCTGGCTCGGAGCCGGGCTGCTCCAGACTGCGGAGCGCCGGGCCTCTCCCTGCAGCCTGGAAGTTGCATCTGTGGGTGCGGGGCCGACACTCGGGGGCCCTGCGGGCTCGGCCTCTGCCAGACGCTCGGGAGGGAAGCCGGGCAGCCCGCTGGGGCCGCGGCCCGGCGCAGGGTGCGGGTGGATACTGACGCGCCCCAGCCTCAGTGTACCCAGGAGCAGTGGGCAGCCCGTGCTCCGGTGGTCAGGAGACCCACAGGGCGGGAACCCACAGCGCCTGCGGAGCGGCCGCGCGGCCGGCATTCCCGCAGGCGCGGCAGCAGCACACGGCCCCGTGCCGGCCCAAGGGGGCAGCAGAGAATGCGTGCTGGGACCCCGGGGCGGCGGGGAGCCGCTTCCTCACTTCCCAGGCCGTGGCAGCGGCCACGGGTCCCAGCTACCGCAGGGCCCAGCGCCTCCTGCTCCAGCCAGACCTACTCCCAGGGCACCGCTGGCGCCGAGGCAGAAGATGGAACAGGGTGGAGGGAAGCAAGGACCTTCCGGTATGCCGGAGGTCAAGTTTCAGTTCAATCTATGAGCGTGACCTGCACGCTCCCTGGAGGAGAAGCTGCCTGCCCCTGGAGGAGAAGCTGACTGGCCGGCACAGTCCTGGGCGCGGGCAGACGCGGCCAGACCCCGCCATGCCGCCTCACAGGGCTGGCACACAGACGCGCTGTCTCTGACCCGTGCAGCGAGGGCAAGTTAGGGCAGGGCTGAAGGCAGGAAGATGCGAGAGCCACGTGGGTACAGCTCTCAGCGTCACTGTGTCCCTGAGGCTGCCTGGCGCTGTGTGAAGTGAGGGTGCCTGGCACGGACACCCCACCAGGACAGCCACACGGTCAGAGGTCTCTTTTCTGGAGACCCTCACTGGAAGCCTACCACTGCCGGGGCAGGGCAAGCCGGCCAGCGCACGCAGGTGCGAGCGAGCCGGGGCCCAGGACCTGCCCTGACGGGGACTCGGGCCCCTCCCAGCTAGGGCTGGGCAGCTGGGGGCTCTGCCGTCCACCTCAGCGGGCGGGGCGGCGGGGCACTCGGTGAGTGCCAGCGGGCTCACCTCTCCCTCCCTGCCCTTGCCTGGGGGCAAAGACATAAAGAAGGGCAGGCAGAGCGCTGGGAGCAGACCTCGGGCTGTAAAGCGCAAGCCAGCGCCTCCCCGCGCGGGGGCCTGCCAGCGGCCAGCCCGTCTTTCAGCTTCCTGGCTGCGCGCACACGCCCTGGAGGCAGGAGGGCGCCCTGGAGGCAGGAGGGCGCCCAGGGGCTGAGCGGTCTGAGCTGGAAGAACAGGCTGACACTCGACCAGACGAGAGCATGAGGACAAAGGCCGCGCTGTCAGCCGCTCACGAGCAGGTTAGGGCCACAAGTACACACGGACAGCAGCGCACGCACACACAGCCGGGGCCGCCCGGCGCCCGTCCACAGCCACCTACCGTCCAGCTGTGTCTTCTTTGGCTGCATGGAGGGGGAGGACAGAGAGGAGGTGACCCGGAAGTTAGCGGGGAGAGTCTCTGCTGACCCTGCAGCTAAGCCACGGACGTCCTTGGGTCTGAATTTTTTCCTCCAGGAAGGTGCTCTCCGGAAGCCCTTGTCGTCGTCCTGGGAAATCCACGGATGGGCTTCAAGACACAGGACGCAGACGCGGCGGCCAGCCCCGGGAGCACGGCCGGACAGGCCCGCCTTCTGTGCCCAGGGCCTGTCTGTCCCAGCCGGGCAGTTCTGAGACTGCAAGGGGCGTGGGGCCCTCTGCTGTGACCCTGAGAGCGGTTCCTCCTCTCACCAGGCCCTGCCCGCCCTCCTGCCCCACCGCCGCTCTCGAGCGTCCCGGGCCCCAGTGAAGACTGGCAGGAGACAGCGTGGGAACGCCCCACGAACGTCCTGCGGGAACCTAACACTGTCTCACGCACCGCACAGGCCCCGGCCGGCTGACGCCTGCAGTCCGCAGGACAGTGTGCGAGGGCGGTCAGCAGCCGAACAGTGATGAATCAAAAGGACAGCAACCCTACCGAGAATGACGTTTCTTGACAGCACTTTTGCTGACAACTGTTGAGCAAGACTTGCTCTGTAAAGCTCCCACGCGTGTGGGCCGTCCCCGTGGCCAACAGGTTACCGCGCAGCACGACGAAGCTGCGCTACTTCAGCCCCCCCAGCGCAAGTGCGGGCCCGGCCAGGGAGGGGCCCCCAGGGCGCAGCAGGCCCCTCCCGCCTCCCCGCTGCTCCCCTCAGTGTACTCTGTCGCGCCGCCTGTCCTGCTCCCCACTCTGGGGAGTCCTCTCACCTCCTGCACCTCTGGCCTGCACCCCAGTTCTTGTGTGCATAAATACATGTATCTTTAAAAAAAAAGATCACCCCAAATCTGAAGAGACACCCTGCAGGGCTCTTGGGCGTCACGGAGAATTCGCGCTTGAGGCACATCAAGGGCCCTGGAGCAGACTCACCTCGTCGAACCTCCTGTCGGTCCCCGCGACCAGAAGGTGGTTGAACTCTCTCTCCAGCACGGCGCGCGCCTGCAAGCGAGCAGCCTCAGCACCGCCTCAGCCGTCACGGCTGCTCCCAGCCGAGAGCCCTGACGCACCCACGCCGGGATGGCCTGGAGCTGGGCGCAGGCCTGGGGTTTCAGGTGCCCCCTAAGACGGGCGTTGGGGCCACCGCCCCCTGGGGGTCACGCGCGAACGCACGCGGGGTGGATGGTGCTGGGGCCAGCCAGGCGCCTCGGCGCAAGAGGCACAGCGAGAGATAAAGGTGGCAGAACGAAGCACCCCAACCCCGGAACACCCACAGACGACACGGGCGGCCACCCACCAAAGCCCAGCCAGGGCCCCCGGGGACAGAGGCCTGC